ATTATACTTTGCCATCTACTTGCCCTCCACTGTGACAACAGCCTCCTTGCTGTTCCATGAACAAGACACTCCACCTCTCAGCTCTGGGTATTTTCTCTGGTCTCCTCCTTGCCTAGAATACTGTCCCTCCTTATCTCCACCTTCTGGCTTCCCTTATTTCCTTTATGTTCAAGTCGCAGCTAAAAAGCAGGGAGCCTTTCCCCACTCCTCTTAATTCTAATGTCTTCCTTCTCCCATTCCTTATTTATCCTGTATATAACTTGCTTGTAGATATTTGTTTGCTTTCTGTCTTCTCTGCTAAACTGTAAGCTCCTGGAAAGCAGGGATAATCTTTTGCTTTTCTTTGTATCTCCAGCGTTTAGGAGAGTGCCTGGCACATAGTAGGTGTTTAACAATCACTACTAACAATCACATGGCACCTACTATGTGCCAGGCACTGTGCTGAATGCTTTCCAATGATTATCTCATTTGGTCCTCACAACAACCAATATCCTCTCACTTTATTCTCACAGCAATGCTGGGAGCTAAGAAACGCATACTGACATGACTTTACCATTGTAACTACAAACTGCTATTATTTTATTAGGAGGAATAGACATTTAGTTTTAATGATAAAAGGAACTTTCAGGCAAAGAGAGTCATCCAACAGTAAAAATAACAGAGACCATCTAAAGAGCCCTTTAAAGTTTGCAAACCATTTCACAAACATCATCTCATTTTATCTGCACAGCAACCCTAGGAGATAGATGCAATTATTATCCTCATTTTACAGATGAGGAAACTGAGATAAAGGAGCTCAAGGGACTTGCCCAGGGTCCCAAAGCCACTAAGCCTATGAGTCAATATATGATCTCGGATCTCGCTGTTTAGTTCCAGCACTCTACCCACTGTGCCACCTAGCTACTACAAATTACATTCATGTTTTCTACTTTAACAATTCATTTATTGCAATCATTGAAAATCCAGGGAGAAATGAGACATATTCAGCTACTCCCATACAGGTCTCTGATTCTTTGCTTATGCTGTTGTGTTTGCATGGGATGCCCTCTCACACCCCTTTCCCTGCTGAAGATTACTGAACTGAATTCTTCTCTTCCCACTTTAAAGTTTAATATTCATGCCATGTGCTATAGGAAGCCTTCCCTGACTCTCCATTCTGAAGTGGATAATGACTTTGACTTTCTTGAACTAACAGAGTGATGGGCTCACATCTCTCTTGTGCAGTTATCACAGGTTACTTTGGATTGTATTCATTTGCATTGTGGCATATTTCCCTTTATTAGGTTGTAAACTCCAGGAAAGCAGGGACCAGGTCAAAAACCAGAGATGTAACTAAAATGTTTTCTTCTTCTGGGGCAAAAATAGTTGTAGGGCAGAAATGCAAATGACAATGATGGGAGGTTGAAGAGGAAACAGAATGCTCCCTCTTTTTTCCTCCATCTTTCATTGGCTGGGCCATGACCCTGTTCCCTCTTTCTCTCTCTTTGGGCCACCTGCCCCAACTTCCATAAGGTCAGAGGTTGGCAGCCTATAAGATATAAGGACATTAGTCTCCAAACCTTAGCAGCGAGGAGTTGTACTCATTTATATCAGTGGCTGGAGCAAAGGCCCAGCTACCCTACCCTAGTTACAGTCTGACTAAAGTGTATCTCTTTCCCCAGTTCAACTACAGAGCTATATAAACAGTAGGTACTTAATAAATATTTGTTGAATCAGAGTGCATTATAAGTATAGCCATACCACAATAACGACGGAAAACAGAGAGATAGCCCAAATGTGGTACTGGCCTTTACAAAACATTAAAAGACATAGAGGATGGCATTTCTAGAAGGATAAGAACAAGAATTTCATAAGATGATAAGGAACGGATAGTTGGGGTCTCTTTAGTAAAGAGGATACCAACAGGAATAGTATCATATATCAATTAGATGATAAACATACAGAGAGAAGAATTAGAATCAAGATGGAAGGCAAAAGGAGGCCAACTCTAACTCAGGAGTAACATAAAGAAAAGCCTCTTTAACAAATTAAATGCTGTGAGACACAGTAGTCAATCGCTGTAGTAATCCACTGTTTGATAAGCCCAAAGACCCCAGCTTCTGGGATAAAAACTCACAATTTAACAAAAACTGCTGGGGAAACTAGAAAATAGTAAGGCAGAAACTAGGCATAGACCAATATCTTATACCATATACCAAGACAAAGTCAAAATGGGTACATGATTTGGATATAAAGGCTGATATTATAAGTAAATTAGGAGAGCAAGGAATAGTTTACCTGTCAGATTTATGGAGGACAGAAGAATTTATGACAAAACAAGGGATAGAGAACATTATGAAATGCAAGATGGATAATTGATTACATTAAATTGAAAATGTTTTGTACACATAAAGCCACTGCAACCAAGGTTAGAAGGGAAGCAGAAAACTGAGAAGCAATTTTTACAACCAGTGTCTCTGATAAAGGCCTCATTTCTAAAATATGTAGAGAACTGAATCAAATTTATAAGACTACAAGTCACTCCCCAATTGATAAATGGTCAAAGGATATAAACAGGCAGTTTTCAGATGAAGAAATTAAAGCTATCTATAGTCATATGAAAACATGCTCTAAATCACTACTGATTAGAGAAATGCAAATCAAAACAACTCTGAGGTACCACATCACATCTATCAGATTGGCCAACATGACAAAACAGGAAAATGATAAATGTTGGAAAAGATACGGAAAAATTGGAACACTAACGCATTGTTGGTGGAGTAGTGAACTGATCCAACCATTCTGGAGAACCAATTTGGAACTATGCTCAAAGGGGATAAAACCCTTTGGCCCAGCAATACCACTTCTATGTCTGCGTCCCAAAGAGATCACACAAATGGGAAAAGGACCCACATGTACAAAAATATTCATAGCAGCTCTTTTTGTGGTAGCAAAGAATTGGAAATAAGGGGATGCCCATCAATTGGGGAATGGCTGAGCAAGTTGTAGTATATGAATGTAATGGAATACTGTTGTGCTATGAGAAATGATGAGCAGGTGGATTTCAGGAAAAAAACTTGGAAAGACTTTTATGAACTGATGCTGAGTGAAGTGAGCAGAACCAGGAGAACACTGTACATACTAACAGCCACATTGTGTGATGACTAAGTTTGATAGACTTAGTTCTTCTCAGCAATGCAAGGATCTAAGACAACTCCCAAAGACTCATGATGAAAAATGCTATCCACATGTGGGAAAAGAACTATGGAGTCTGAATGCAGATCAAAGCATACTATTTTTCTCTCTCTTTTTATTGGGGGGGGGAGGGTAGTTCTTCTTTCTTGTGGTTTCCCCCATTGGTTCTAATTCTTCTTTACAGCACGACTAATGTAAAAATATGTTTAATATGAACGTATAAATAGAGCCTATATCAGATTGCATGCTGTCTTGGGGGGGGAAGAGAGGGGAAGAAAATTGAGAACTTAAAATTTTATGGAAGTGAATGTTGAAAACTAAAAATAAATTAATTTAAAAAACTAAATGCTAATTAAAACCACAATGCTCTCCTCTGTGAAGTAATGAGCTCACTATCTATTGATATATTCAAGCCAGAGGTGAGATGACCATCTCTCAAGGGTGTTTCAAAGCTAATTATTGTACTGGATGCTTCTTTGTGGCCTCTTTTCATCTCCAAGATGCCATTCTTTTTTGCCATTCCATTCTTCCTAGTTCTTCTGTGCCAACACAAAAATTTACACAGGAGTTCTTAATTTGGGGAATCTGAACTTGTTTTTGTAAAAATACCATGATAACTATTTTAATTTAATTACTTTTCCTTGTATTACTCTATGGTTTATGCATTTAAAAACGTAATTCTGAGGAGGGGTCCAATGTCAAAGGGATTGACAATACATAAAACCCTCTATTTTACATACAGAAGACAATTAATATGTTTGGTGAAGTAAATAGAATATTTGATAATTAAATATTTAAATGTTTTAATGAGCCTAGAAAACTTTAATAGAGAATAAATCTATTGTAATTTGGAATTTAGCTAACATTTATTTATGGGTCATATAGATGTACTTCCATAAAGAGTCCACTCAATATATTGGGTCTAATTGTCTCTCTTGAGTTAAGCACAGTAAATTGGATCAGATAATTCTGCCCTTAAAATAGGTGTTGGGGGGTAAGTAGGATAACTCAAAGGGGGCAACCAGGGATTTGTTCCAGGGCATGAAACTGTGAAAGACACCAATCATGCTTATTCTGCATCTTAGAAGCTATTAACCTAAGCACAAAATAATTAGCTCTAGGCAGTAGTTTCTTCCCTTGAGGCTGTACCTCAGCCTCCTGTCCTTGATCTTCTCCTCTTATTCTCTCCCTCAACCCCAGAGGTATCCCAGAGGATTATCTATTTCTCCTTTTCTCCAACAAATAAATTTGTTTTAGTAAGCTGATTGAAAGACATTATTCATGTTGCTAGACTAAAGCAAGTTATTTTGGGGTTTTTATGGTTTTGCTGCTTTTACCCAGGGCTGCAATTATTAGTTATGACTTGGGATGGGTGTAGAATTATCTCACTTGTTTCTAAAGCAGACAAAGTAATCAAATGATAAACAAACTCTCTCCCTCTTCTGCACTGTGGGATACGACAAGCCTGTGAGTCTTTCTGAAGTGTGGAAGAAAATTTCTACCATGCTTTCCATTTATACTTTTGCCACCAGAGGAAGATTCATTCTGTTTTATATGACACGCTGACACAGTCTGTATATGTGAGGCTAAAGGACATTAAAGCCTTCATTTCAAGCATCTCTGAAACATCTATCCAAGCCCCAATTCAAAGTGAGCATGACATTCAATCGACCTTGCCATTCACCAAGACAATGGAGGGCTAAGGAACATGCCAGATTCACAAAGAAGTACATTCTGAATGAAAGCTTAGCATTATGGAAGCTCAGCACCACGGCACTGCATACAGCTGATATGGTAGCCTCCCACTGGTATTTTCCATGCATTACCTGGATGGAGAATTTTGGTTCTCCCATTAGCGACTCCAGATGAGGATGCCTCCATTTTTATTGACCTTCGGACAGGTGGGAGTGAAGAATGCCTAACCACAAGTGGTCGATGGGAGGCTGGACGGCTGACCACACTTCGCCTTTGATGGATTTGCAAACGCTTTTCAGCCCCATGAAGAGATACACTTAAACCTGGAATGAGAAACAGCACCATTCTATTGCAGAGGTCAGCTTGAGATGTCTAAAAGGCAAATTGGTTTAGTTTTAAGTTAGTAGCTAGTACAAGTAAATTAATGTCATCAAGTCAAACAAATGCGCACTCCTTTCAAACTATTAAAGGATGCTAGACATATCAAAATTTGCATATAAGTGAATTTTAATGGCATCGGTTTTGTGAATGGCAATCCCAGATTGAGTTGAGTTTTGCAGGGTCTCTCTCTCACATACACACACACACATTCATAGAGACACAGATAAATTTACTTTTTATTCTGAACAACAAGCACGAAATAAAATGAGCATTTCCATATAAAGAGAGGTATAGAAAAAGTAGGGTAGAGCTCTGAATCTATGATGTACAGCTTGATTTTCCTTTTAAATATATAGTAAAAGCAATATGTAACTTTCAAAGTTCTTATGCTTGTCCATAGATATATATTTACATTCATTCACCTACCTATCCATCTACTCATCTATATGTCCTCTCTGTCCATATATTCATTCATCCATCTCCTTCCTAATCCATCCATTTACCCACCCACCCATCCATTCTTCCAACCATCTATCTATCCATGTATTTTTCTACCTACTGAAAAACAAGGTGACCCAATGGATAGGCCGGCCTTGGTGTCAGGAAGGTCCGTATTCCCATCCTACCTCTGACACAAACTCATCATGTGACCCTGGGCAAGTCATTGAACCTCTCAATGACTCTCTCAGGAAACTCTCTAAAACTATGTTACAAATAAGTGGCTTTTCTGCACTGGTATACAGTATTTCCAAAATGAGAATTCCCTAAAGTCAATGTCTAGACCAAAAAAACCACCCCAAACCCAAACTAGAACCATTCCTATTTCCACCTTTAACAATGGCTTATGTAGTACCTTGAGCATGGCACTGATCTGGCATTTGAGAAGCAGGGTTCAAACACTGTCTCTGTCCCTTAGGACCTAACATGACTTTGGAGAAGTCACTAATCTCCCTGGGCCCTGGTTCCCTCATTTATGAAATAAGGTGGTTGGGCTGTACAGACTCTAAGATTCCTTCTATCCCTTGGTCTATGAGCCAATGATCTGACTTGAATCTCACAACAAACCTGTGGCGTATTATTCTACCCATTTTGCAGATGAAGAAAACTGAGGCAGGGAGATCATACAATTATAGCTTTAGAGTTGAAAAGGCCCTCAAGAGGCCATCTAGTCTAATTTCACAAATAAGGAAATCAGAACCTAGGGAGTTTAAGTGACTTACCCAAAGTTACAAAGATAATAAGTGTCAGATCTTCTGACTCTTGAGGCAGTATACTTTCCACTCTACTTTTCCAACCTCTCATCTTGTTTCTGTCAAGGTATTTATTTCTACATATCTGTCTGCTTGTCTTTATATCGACCTACCTATATGTCCAGTTTTGAACACATTGTGTTTGTTGTTCTAAATACTCACTAAACTTTAAGATCTCTAGGTCCCACCCACCACTCCCGAAAAACCTAAAATGAAAAGGGTAGATGTAACTCTTCTTTATCTCCTCGTGGATAAACTTAGATGAGGCTTTGAAAACTGGAGAATCTGGGTAGAGACTCCAGAACCCCCTCAAGGGTACATATCCCTCTGAAAGCTAAGTGGGCACACTGGATCTTGCTAACTTATGGAGTTCTTAGCACTTTTATTAGTATGCCGTGGTTGTGCATACCGGCATATCTTCCTCCCTCCCTCCAGCGCAATAAAAAATAATAATGAGGAATTCAGACAAACACTGAAGATATGTATGAACTGCTATGTACAGTAAAATGTTGAGAACCAAGGAAACAATATATGTATAGTAATTACAAAAATATACGAATGAATGGATGTGAATGAAAAAAAAAACTTATTAAGGCCCTACTATATGCCAGGTATTATCCTAATCACCAGAGATACAAAGGCACAGTGAGACAGTCCCTGACCTCAAGGAGTTTACACAAGAATAGGGGGAAACAATATATATATCAGAGAATGGTTAGAAAAGAACCATGTGGAATGGGAGTGGAGCCATGGGGATGGGTGGGGTAGGAGAGGGATGTAGTAGGAATCAGAGCAAATGGCCAGACACGAAAAGTGGGCGGCTACACGGAATGTGTGAAATGGCCAGCAATATATGGTTGGTTTGTTGCCTTTATACTTACTGACTCACCAAAGAAGAAATATGAGAAGACATCCTCCCCTCTCCCTCACTGGGACAGAAGCTTAAAGATATGGCACCCTGCATTGTGAGATTGGACCTTTTTGGCTATGTTTGTTGGTTGAACAACAAACCTCCCTCTCCCCCACCCCCTTCAATTTTTTGTTATGAGGGATGGAATGCAGAAGGAGCTGGGATATATTGAGTGACAGAAAAGGAAAATAGCAACAAAGATTTTAAAAACATAAATGGGAGCTCTTACTGTGATTATCACTGTATGTGATATCACCGTATGTAGTAAAGTCTCATTAAATGTCTGGTTCAAGAACAATTCCACAGCAAATAAAGCAATAATCCTGTTCATGAAACTGACTCCCAGTTCTCTTATGGCAGAAAAGGTGACTTCAGTCCATTCACCTGCCCATCCATTGAATCAGCCTTTGTTGTGTACCTACTATGTGCTAGGCAATGGTAATATAAACAAAAACAAAATAGGATCTGCCTTCAAGGAGCTTGTATTATATTAGAGGAAACAACACCTATGCTCATAAGTAAATTCAAAGATAGACAAGTAAACACAAAGTCCTTTCTGGAGAGGGCACCACAAAGTAAGGGAGAGGGTGGGAAACAAAAAAGGCCTCAGACAAGAGGAATCACTTGAACTGAGTTTTGGGTAAAGATAGGGATTCTAAAAGGAGGAGGTGAGGAAGCAAATTTTTTTAGACTAGGCAATTGGGGTTAAGTGACTTACCTAGGGTCACATGGGTAGTAAGAGTCAAGTGTCTGAGGCTGAAGTTGAACTCAGGTCCTCTGGCCTCCAGGGCCAGTGTTCTATGTACTGCACCACCTAGCTGCTCCTGGGAGTATATTTTAAGTGTAAGGATATTCTGAATAAAGGTGGGGAGACAGGAGAAGAAGCACAGGGGACAAGAAAGAGCAGGCAGTCAAGTTTGGTTGGAATGTGCTCGTGAAAGGGAATAAGATGTAATAAATCTAGAAATGTAGGCTGTAAATTGTAAAATTGTAAAAGACTTGAAGTACCCAACAGAAGAGTTAGTGCTTGATTCATCCATCAATTAATTAACCAACAAATATGTATTTAGGACCTACTGTGTAATGGGTGCTGGGGACACAAATACAAAAAATGAAACAACTCTTTCTCTCAAGAGACTTACACTCTAATGGAGGGCTGGATGCTATATCTAAAAATATATACAGCGGAAATAAAGGTAAAGGCATTAAATACAACGTAGCTTATGATGGATGGCATGAGTAAGTGGGGGAAGTAGGAAAGGCTTCACCCACAAGCTGGTGCTTGAGCAGTCTTGAAGGAAGGGAAGGCTTTAGAAGGCAGAGAAGTAAAGGCATATGGGATGGCAGCTACAAAGGCACGAAGGTGAGAGATGGGGAAAAATAAGAAGGCCAGTTTGTATGGGCTGCTGGGGAACAAGGAGTGATGTTAAATGATACTGAGCAGGCAATGGTTGCATATGACTTCAAAAGCTAAACACTGATGTTAATAGTTATCCTAGAGGCAAAAGGGAGTCACTAGGGCTTCTTGAGCAGGGGAGCGATGTCACAGCTGTCCTTTTGGGATACCCATTTCTACTAAAGAATGCATAGAAACAGCCTAATTAGCTCACTGAGTGATATATCAACATTTCTTCCAAAGAAAAACATCTTATTTTTATTGTCAAAGCATTCAACCAAGAGTCTTATCAACAGAAACATTGTGAAGTCCCAAATGTGTTCATATCTTTTAACTTTAGAAAAGAAGAAGTTTAAATGTAGATGCTAATATAAGGAACATATGAAAGCTATAAATTTGCCTGTGAATGGGGGGGGAGGGGAGGCAGGTAGGAAGATGCATTTTCTTTCCCAGCAAAGACAGGTTTGCCTGGATGTCTTGTTAGCTTAAGTTCTCTCTCCCTGCCCCCTCCTCATCTTTGGTTTCTAATTATTCACTGGAAATACTGTGTGAATTACAGGAGGATTTATGTCAGTAGGAATAGAATTTGATGCATTTTGTTAAAATATACAAACCAGCTCCCCAACTAATGTTTCTACTATTAAAGTGCAGGCCAGACATTCCATGAAGAAAAACATACCTCACACTGGGAAGCTTCTATTCTATAACCTTGGCCAGCCCATCCTATTTACCTTGGCTTAGCCATCTTGTACATGAAACTTTTCCTGATCTTCCCAAAGGCTTGGGCCTTCTCCTACAAAATCACCTTGTACCTGCCTTCTTGTTTAGTTGTTTTCAGTTGCAATCCATTTTTGGTTGTTGTTTTTTTGGCAAAGACACGGAAGTGGTTTGCCATTTCCTTCTCCAGCTCATTTTATAGATGAGGAAACTGAGGCAAACAGGGTAAAGTGACTTGCTCAGGGTCATACAGCTAGTAAGTATCTGAGGCTGCATTTGAACTCACATCTTCCTGACTCTAAGCCCAGGGCTCTATCCACTGCACCCCCTAGCTGCCCTCTCTATTTTGTTTATACATACATGTGTACGCACACACGCACACACGCACACACACACACACACACACACACACACACACACACAAGTTGTGTTCCCTGCTAGAATGTATGTGCCTTGAGAGCAGGAACTGTTTCACTCTTATCTTTATATATCTAGTATTTAGTATAATACCTACACAGTAGGTAGGCTACACAGTAGGTATACATACTAGGTGCTTATTAAGTACATAGTTGGTACTTAATAAATGCTTATTGACTGATTAGCATTTGTGCATGGGGACTATCCAGTCACTGTGGGGAGGATGGGCAAGTCATACACTTCTTTGTCCCT